GTACAACATAACAGATTATTTATATGATACAAATAGGTACAAAATCAGGATATTGTGGAGTTGCATTATATTCCAAAGAAAAACCAATTAATGTACAATATGGTTTAGATCATTCTGAATTTGATAGTGAAGGCAGATTAATTACTGCAGAATATCCAAATTTCTATTTAATTAATGTTTGTAAGTTATTCATATTTGGTACAATTGAAAATTTATGTATATTATTTATTATATTCTATTATTATATAATAGCCTGTTATTATTTGTGGTGATATGAATGTTGCTCACCAAGAAATAGGTAATTTATGTATTAAATAAATTTTTTTAATTTCTCTGAATTCATAGAGATATTTATGTATTTACTTCTTTTATTATCTATTTAGATCTCACAAATCCTAAAACAAATACAAAAAATGCTGGATTTACCAAAGAAGAACGAGAAGGTATGACTGACTTTCTAACTGCAGGATTTGTGGATACATTTAGAGCTCTGTATCCTGATAAAACAGGTGTATACACATTTTGGTCATATTTTGCTAATGCACGAAATAAAAATATAGGATGGTGAGTATATGAAAATTTGCTTAATACACAATATAAATTGATATATTACAATATAACTTTTGTGTCATGTATTTTACAATTTTTTCTTATATAGGAGACTAGACTATTATTTGGTATCAGAGCGAATTAAAGATAAAATTTGTGACAATGTTATAAGGGATAAAGTGTATGGCAGTGATCATTGCCCAATTGTACTTTATATTAACATATAATATGAAACTGAATATTTTATATTTAAATCATATGTATTAAATCATAATTGTATTTAAGTTGTCTTATAAAAATAAAGTTTTGTGTGGAAAACATCATTTCATATTAAATGAAGATATTTTTATTATTACGTTATTATGCGCGAATATTGTTTTTCTTGTGTAAACAAATATGTATCAATAATAAAAAGTGCATTTATATATTTTTGATGTATTACAAAAATCAATTTTTTGAATAAATTCAACGTATTAATTTAATATGATTCTAATATACTAATACAAATGATATATTTGACATCTAACCTAACATATATGTTTACCCCTACTACTTTCATTCAATTTCATAACCATTCATATCGTTAAATTGTAAAAATTTAAATATTTTACATTAGCTGTCTTAGCTGGCTTAGAATACTAAAACACTTTAATTTAAGATTTAACTTTTACTGGACAACAAAATATAAGCTCATTATAATCTTTCTTTGACAATAGTGTTTAAAGAATAAGAGTAGTAACTGTAACAAAAAGGAAGCGGTAAATTTAATTGTAACGAAAAATGACATCAGTAACAAACAGCACTGTTAATTTAAATAAATATGAAAGTTTCTTTTACTTTTTTTTGTGGATGGGTGCAATATTATATTCCATTTATAAAGTGTCCTTAATTAGTATTTGTAAGAATTTAAATACCTATTCTTAAAATGATATATATCAATATCTTATTTCAAAACTACACATAATTTTTAGACTTTAACAATTACGATGATTTATATGGTGATTTTGCACCAGGATGGATGTGGATTGGAAGAAAGCAAGACATTTCTGATCAAGAATGGAAAATATGGATACCATTAATAATAAAATTAATACCTTGGATATTTCTTCATCATTTTATTAGTCATATTATTAAAACTATGTCAAATTCTATGGTTTGATATTTTTTGAGTATTATTTTATATTTTATTATTTGACTCTATCTTACTTACAATATTATATATTTTTACAGCTGTTATGTTGTTGGTACATCTTTATATCCATATCATTTTTGTATTTTTGCATTGGAATATTAGGCATGTTGTGTACAGTAATGCAATCAAGTATACTATATATTTTAACATATAAACGTAGACATTCTACTATATGGTCCATAAATATATTATTTTTATTTATAATACACTTTCTCAAAGTTCCGGATGGTATTTTTCAAAATATGTTTAAATTTAATGAAGAAGAACATTACATTTTAACTCTTATAATGTGTTGGATTCAGCTAAGAAGCATTAGTTACAGTATAGATCATATAGAATTATATTTAGAAAATAATTGTGACAACATGATTTGCATTTTAAAGAACCTTTTATATAAATTAGCATATTGCTTATATTTGCCTACATTATCCTTAGGACCACTGGTTCTATATCACGAATTTATTATTTCTGTAGGTATAATGTTATATTAAAAATACATTTTACTTATTATTGAAGATTAGCAGGGCATATATTTTTATAGTTTTTACATTCTTACAGGTAGAGAGAACATCTCAATTCTGGAAACCTGTAAAACTTGGAAATTTTGCTTTTAATTTAATTAGATATATTTTCTGGATATTTTTTGCAAACTTTTTTTTGCATTTTCTATATTTTAATGCAATACAGTATTATCCAGAGGTAAAGTTACATCTTTAAATATAGTGCTTTTATTAAAATTTAATGAAAATCTATCTTTTTCTTATTGCAACCAGATTGTTAAGGATTTAAATCCATGGGCCTTGTATGGATTAGGATATTGTATGGGACAGTTTTTCTTAATTAAATATGTTGTAGTATATGGATTCAATCATATTTTATGTGCAATAGATAATATAAAAGCTCCTCCTCAACCTAAATGTGTAGCAAGGGTTCATTTATATTCTGACATGTGGAAATATTTTGATCAAGGTTTATATAAATTTCTTGTAAGGTAAGATTGAGGTATTTAAAAAATGAATTATATATTTATGTGTAATATAAATAATAAGTAAAAGAAGTAACGTTTATGATAGAAATTTCGAAACATTTTTCAGATACATATACATACCTCTGTTAAAGTCTAATTACAACAAACTATTTGCTTCCT